TAAAACCAAAAAAGAAAACCCAGTAATTCAGCCTAGCATCCAAACATTAGATTGATGAATGATTTGCACAGAAACTGGCTTCAAATACGGATATATGAGGGCCAGGAGGACGTGGTCCTACCTCAGCCTGATTCACTGCTCGGGTCACTCAGTGCCCGACAAGACGAAACATCCAAGCAAAGCCACTCACCAGCAGACTCACAGCACCTCACTGTTCCTGCATTTTGGAAGGCAGAAAGACGGCATTACTCGAAATGGCTTTTATGCAGAGGATCTCCAGGATTTATTCTTTGTTTTCCCTTACTTATTCGTATACCTAAGTGATTTTCAGGATCCCATCAGCTTTTACCTGTTAATTTACAGCAAACTAAAGATTCACATTCCATTTTTCTCTTTCATACACAACCAAGGTCCCCGCTGGTTGCACTGCTATAGGAAGGAGCAAACAGGAGCAGGCAATTTTTAAGCTGGCGACTACCAAGAGAGGCCCATTGAACTGCATGGTCAAGGTGTCCAACAAAGGCACCAGACGATAAAATGGTCATGGGGGTCATACTAAGAATTAAAATAAAAGCTGTTCAAAATTTACTGATCTAAATTTTAGAGTAATCTGAAACGTAATTAATTTGATCTAGCACTACTCTGCTAAAATGCACAAGGAACAGCCACTTTGTGCCTCTTTTGTTCCTATTTCCTTTTCAAGTAGACACTCGACACAAACTTTGGGCTTGTAAAGACCCAGTAGGGCCATCTGAATTTTAATTCCAGCGTTACTCAGGGCATCGTGCATTAAGTAACTTGCAAAGGATTCTTGGTGTTGGATAATTTCTCTGGGATCATCTCAAACATCCTATCAATCAGCCTTTGAAGATTCGTTAGTCAGGCTCAGAGTAAATTACTACGGGGAGGAGCCCAGTGACTTTGGCACAGGAAAATCTACAACCGTGATGTAATTAAGCACCCTGAGAACTGCAAAGCTGGTTTCTACTTAAGAGATGAAACCACGAATACACATCTGTCAGAACTGCTGGGAAATGACTCACGGAAATACAGTCATGACACATTTACATTTAGGTCGCTGCAACTGGAAAACATCCTTGTGAAAAACTTGTGGAAACACTACAAATGAGCTAGAAAATAAAGCTCTCAAATTCCACCCTTTCAAGACATGGCAAACATGATTCTTAGAAAATTATTTTGCATCATTAGGCAAAAGACTCAAGTTCTAGGAGTCAGCAGAATTACTTTTTACACTTTTCGCACTTTAGCAGTAGCTGGAATGATTAAATGTTTTTTTGTTACAGCCTCTAAATAGGAAAATACGCTCCCTTCTTGAGTAATTACATACTTTGCCACCTCCTACAGCTTTTACTCTTCAGCAACTAAAGTTGGAGTCACACATTCAGTTTTAACATCTACAGTGAGTTTTAACATCCATCGAGATGCTGAATGGCTGGTTGCTTTTATTTACAATGCATTTTCAAGATGAGATTGTTTTTTAATCAGTTGCTCACACATATTTAGGATGCACACGTGATGACTCCAGATATAAAATGAAAAAGGTCTCTTTTCAAAGTACATTAACAAAAAAGAAAAGTTGTCACCAGCCATTGGACTACTACTTGTTTTCCAATGGTTAAGTTCTAGGAAAGCAAGTTTATAACAAACATTTAAAAACCCGAGCTGTAAACTCTAAGGAAGCTGCACAGAACACGGAGGTCACTTAACAGAATCACATCGTGTCTCACAGACAGGAAGATTTACTCACATTTCAGCTTCTTTTCTGCCACAAGGTAGAAGACTGACAATTAAAAAAAAATTAATAAATATACAGCTTTTAACTATAAACATCATTTGAACTATTATTTTTTCATTTTAAGTAAAAAACCCCTTAACAAATCAATCTAATATCAAACAAGAAGACACATAAACATTTTGGCTTATTTATGTATTTCAGATGGTCTTTGGTAGACTACCAGAACTTTCAGTTTGTGTCCATCTCCCTGCTGACTTAGGCAAGGAAGGGAGATCCCCAAAGTGAAGGACACACTTCAGCAGCATCAGCCGTGCTCCAGGGGCCACGCTAAACACAGCTCCCAGCTGAAGGTAACGCCAATTTACTCCCTGCATTTCTCCAGTGCCCTCCTTGGCACAGCCGCGACCAGCGCCTGCCCTGCAACTGGAGCACGGCCCGCACCCGAGCTCGGAAGGCAAAGAAAAGAGAGCTTTGTACAGCCCTCCTATGGACAGAGCAGAGGAAAGTTAAAACAACACATGAAGAACCCTCTACACGCGTATATTCTCCCACTTATTCTCAGGCACACGGACTCTTTGCTGAACTGCAGGCAGCAGGGACGCGCCCGGAGACCACAAACCCGCTGCAGGAGCCCGCTCGCCCCACAGGGCTGCGGAGGGAAACAGAGGTGTCAAGAATGGTGATAAACTGCAGGAGTTAGATTAAACATTTATTTTTTTCATATATTCACAAAATCTTCACAAAAGTATTGAAACTCAAAAAGGAATTAGACTCGAGTCAAATACAGAGATGAAATGTACAAGACAAATGAGCAGGCAAACTAAAAGGTCTTGAAAGTATTTTACTTCAGATTGAAAAACGAACAGTTCAACTGTTCTGTTTAAATAAAGATTTGCAAGATATACAGTATTTTATGAATACAATGCTGGTCATTTGAGGCAATGTAAAATACCTCAAGTTTTCCTTCATGCTTTTTTTTTTTTCCTTTTTTCTATTTTTTTTTTCTTTTAGAAAGATACTGTTTACCAAAAAGAAACTTGAGCAGTCCAGGAAAAGCTATTTTCCATTAAATTTATGAAAACCATAAATTGAGGCAAACCTAAGATTCCCAATGGAATCAAGATTATCTTCCCGCTACCACCACCTTAAAATTATCACATGCTTATTGGAACACTAATATCTGCACCCTAAGAGTACATTTGCTTTCAACGATGAGGGTGATTCTTTTAAAAACACTTCAGTGTGGTAAATGCGATACAGATCTTTGCAAGTATTAAGTTTTGGAACAGTTTTGCTAATAGCAGCTAACAATACTGGATTAATACAATTTATAAACAATTGTTCCCTAAGCGGTGAACATAAGTCTACACATTCACAACAATCTAAACCAAAATAAATACTGTGAATATGCATAATGTGGTACAACTTTTGCTAGTTTCTATGAACAAAAGCTCAACATCTTGTTGATAAAATTAGCCAATCCAATTAAAATATGAATCTAAAAATTAAAAAAAAATTGTCAAATTGACATCACTTAAGCTTAGTGTTTGAGTAAATGTTACAACTTTCCATCTTTTTGAAATATTTTTTTTTTCCTTTTTGAAGTAAAACACTTTAACACATTGAAAATGTTTTATTAATTCAAGTGATGACATCAGTTCTGGTCTTATTTTAGCTTTATTTTACTTTAAAAACCATTGCACCGATGAGTGCCCATGAAAGGTCAGGTTGGTCTGTAGTATTCTGTAAATGGATATTAAAAAGAAGTTTCTAAAAGCTAACGGTACTTTTTATAAAAGCATCATCTCCAGAACAGCTGCATTAAATACAGCCCTGTGTGCAGAGTACAGCCTCTCCTCTTTAAAAAATACGTGAAAGTAAATGCCGCTTAACTTCCTACCGCTGAAGTGTCCCAACTCCTGCTCCAAGCTATGCCTGTGAGTGTAACTACCCATTTAATTCGCGTTCATGGCATCAAAGTTACTGCAACCAAGACTTGTGATGCGACTGAACTAGACAAATGTGGAGCTTCGATTAAATGGTAACTAGGTCAATGAAGAAATACGATGAGATGTGAAAGGTTTGGGTCTTTAAGGCAATACAAAACATATTTCAATACTTGAAGTTGTTTTGGTTTTATTTTGTTGTTTTTTTTAAATAATTGAAGTGTAAATATAAAAATGTCTAAGAGGGGAGTGAGAAAAAAATACTTTAATTGCAAAATTTACTTAAAGCTTCAACAGTTATCATCTCCTACAGGAGTTAGCAAAAATATAAAAGACAACAAAACCCAGACCTGGAAGGAGGGGGGAAGGCACAAACAAAGGCATGGGATTAAAGCAGCCCAGGAATGAAAACGTCTGTAACAAAATGAGTTTCGTTGTTGTTTTTTAAAAACTGAAAAAAAAGAAGAAAACAATCACCACCACCAACCAAATGAAACACCCCCACGTGGCTTGTATTTCTTTAAAAAAAAGAAAGGGTCGGGGAGAGACCACTGAGGGGAGGAAGAGAAGGATGCAACTATAAAACCCCATTGCCTGAAACGATGGCACTCGAGAAAACGAGGTGAAGGTTACTTCTCCGAGATGACAAGCTCAGTGTCCACACAAAGTACACGTACACGTTACACAAATGAAAACCTTCATTTGCCACCAGAAGCCTTTCTGTCAGAGGAACAGCCTTTGCAGATCAAATGTTCTATTAAATCTTTTAAATGCCAAGAAAAGAAATTCTGAGCAACATAACTAATGTCTCTTTGTATGGATGTTAAGATGACAATTCAGATTATTTTCCAAACTACTCCTGAGAAAAATTTATGTTTACAATTTAAACAGTAATGTTATGTAAAAAGTATTAACAAATCCACTATTACAAATGTCAGTTTTTCCTATATGGTCACCTATATATACACAATAAAATGGTAAGTATATGCAAAAATAATAAAAAAATCATGCACAAATTACTGTCACCTTTAAAGGCTGGGTTTCCCTCAAAATACAAGTTTTTGCTTTTTTTTTTTCTTTCCTATTTTTTTGTGTTTTGTTACCACCCCCTAGACACACTGAGTACTACCTCTACAGGTCAGCATGAGCTGATGGGAAATACATTTATTTTACATTCAAGCTTTTATATCCTAAATGACCCTGTTGTAGCATATGACTTATCAAATGAGCAGCCTTTTTCCTCCTTTTTAAAAATTTTTTAAATTTTTTTCTTTTTTTTCTTTTTTTTTCTTTTTTGGTTTTTTTTTGCAGTGATCAATCTTCATGATCCGTTCCGTGGCGAGCTGGGAAAAAAAAATGCAGTTGCTAATCAATGTCTGAACAGTCTGAAGCTCCGGAAGAGATCCAAGGAGTCACTATCAAACTATCCTGTAGCATGAGATCATTGCACACAGAAGAACAGTCATCAAATAGGCAACTATCGACAAAGGTCTGAAAGGGCCGCATCCCTCTTGTGTTTCCTTTTTTTGCCGTGGAAAAACTGATGGTGTGATTTGCTGCCTTGATGTTGTTTGTTTGTGACTGAGGTACCGTGGCTTGAGTTTGTTGGACCTTGGAAGCCTTTGTTAGAAGAGCGAAATAACCGTGCAGATCCATGCTGTAAAAGAAAAAGAAGGTGGTAATTCAGTGCTAAACAGAAGAAAGTGTGGCAACTACACAGCCCTACTTCTGGATAATGAGGACGTTAACTCACGTGAGCGTCACACTTGAAAAAAATGGCTATGGCAAAGGAAGTGAGGCCATCGCTTAGACAGCAGCACAGCACCACAAATCTTTCACTGCTGTGGCTGGAAACAAACGTTCATCTCTAGATCCAAAACCACGCAGGTCAAGTGAGAGGAGCAGAACACTCTGAATTTTGAAAATTGTTCTATCGCTCCCATTCGACAATCATCAAAAAAGTGGTTCACAGAAACATAAATCCATAATCCAAGGTGACAGATGAAGACTGCTCAAATCACATCTTGTGTGCAAAATTAACATAACATTCTTTTAAGACCAGGCCTAATTTTATACCACATCTTTTTACAGATGTAGAGTATCCCAGATCGTGCATATTCACATTCCAGCACCAGAATTAGCTCTGCGTAATAACGCAAACACATGTTCACAGCATATCCAAGGCCTCTCGTTACTTGCTAGAGGTAGATTCAGCAAGTTGGGGGCAGCAAGGCTTCAGAATTGCTTTTCAGGAATAATATTCCAGAAGACTCCAGACTATTTTTCACACATTAAAGAAGTCCTAAATTCTGCAAAAGTATAAAAATTTAAACTGCATATATTCGAAGTATATTGTCTGTACAGGCAGATAGTATTTCTAGATTACTGAGTCATCAAAAAAGCATTCTTGACCCTGAGAAATCCCCTAAATGCATAAGCTCTGGTAGGCCTCATCATAAAGGTATTTGTCTCTGGGGGGAAATGAGGGAATTTCATGTACCAGCAAGGTATGTTCGTCTCTCTTAATGAGAGGCATTTCACCAAGCATCAATAGCTAACACAGCACCAGTCTTCGTTTTAAACCTAGACTTTCACTGACTTTTTCAAGTCTCATTGGTTCTCAAATGCTGCAGTAAAGACCGGACTGGAGTGCTTTTTGCAAAAAGGAAATGAGTGCGACACAGCTGTATACATCTGGCAAATCCAGATTCCCCAAAGTCAACCCAATTCCATCTGGTTTAAGGCTGGGAAAGCCACTGTTGGAAACTCCTCTGGGTGAGCTGAACAGAGAACCAGGTGGTACCATGTACACCCAGCATCCAAAGCTTTCTGGTGGGGTAAAGGGGAGGAGAAAAACGCAGCATTTCCTTTCCAGAACAGGCTACCCTTCCAGGGAGGGCACGCGTTATACTCAAATCATCCACACAGTTGCTGTTCTCAAACAATTCACAAACCTGAGATTTGTTCGCATTGCTGGATGTGTTGGCTGTTTGGCTATTTTGTGTTTTCCCACTTGACTGGGAGGATTCTAGTGACACTTCTTGTGACCCCACTCTGTTTGTGGTAGACTGACGACAGCTCAGTTGTTTAGAGGTTTTGCAAGGTGTTCCGTCAGAATCCTTTAGGAAAATTTAAAGTATTAGAGAATTTTTCTTAAGAGTGACTTTTTCTAAAAGTGAGATTTCCCTCAAAAATAGAGCTAGAGTGGACAAAACTTAAACCATGTTTATTCCATTAGGTATCAAAACTCTTTCAATCCAGAATTCTTACTGAATAAACAGATTTAAAAATGTTCTGATGCATGAATCTGATTTTGGGATTTGTCTTGCCTTTTAAAAATAGGATTACCACATTATTTTTAATATGCTGTGTTGGTTTTTAAAAAGCATATGGCTTAGGACTACCAAGTCTTTTGGTTGAAACAGTCTTCCCAGAAAAGAGAGAGCTGGGTAACTTCGTATCTGCTGTTAGATCCACTGCCTACATGCACTGTGTCAAAACACACTGCAACTTACGCGTGCAGAAACGGCACTAGAGGTAACATCTGAAGCAAGTTTGGATTCTGCATGAAATAACTAATTAGGATTCTGAACTTTCCAAATGTATTCTGAGGCAATAGAAATCAGGGAAAAAACCTGCAGAAATTTAAATACAATCAGAAAACCTCCAGTACTTACTACATCACTTGAGCTGGACAGCATAGATGACGATGATGATAAAGGACCTGATGAAGAATTTGAAGAATGTTTACTAAGCGTTTCTGAAGTTTTATTTCTAGGTTTTCCCAGTGCTTCACTCTCTTCAGCAAGGTTATTGTTGCATTTGTCTAGTTGTTGAGTATCTACTATCAAGGTTACTCCATTACCTATTAAAAACAAAGCAGAAGCATCACGACACATTAACTGCTAAAATATGTCGCTTTTTTTCTTTGTTAATACCCACTCTGGCATTAAATATCTATTCTACCCAGCAGGACAAGTACAGACATCTGCACACGTCCACACTGTCAGTCCATGCAGCTCACGTGTGCACGTGTCTGTGCGTATGCCCTGCACGCACCGAGCCAACACCTCGCAGAGGGTGGGGCGGTTTCCTGGCAAGACCAGTAAGGTGCACTATGAAAACCGCCAAACGCTACCCACAGGTCAAGATGGAAATGAGGTAAGATGTGGAAGAAGGTATGGAAAGAGCTCTGATGTGCTGCTTAATAATGTGACATATTTCAACAGGACTCAAATGCACAGGTTTAAATTCTGTTCCTATATGCCCAATACCCAGCAATCCCCACTTTCCTTCTGCTGGAGCTGCTACGGTCATAAGAACTCCAAATAAATCTGGCTGCTCTGTGTGATACCCTACAGTGAAAATACAAGATACAGAACTCTCATATCTCACTAACTGCTCCTTAATTGAAAAAATAAATAAAAAAACAGAATTGGAACTCGAATCTAAACTGAATCTACAAGATGGCCACTGTAACTGTCACCACTGTCTTCCTGACAAAGGGTCATTTTATTTTTTTTAATTATTGTTTTATGGCACATAAGGCACCTAGGAGTGACCTCTGATTTATATGATATACATCTGTTGCCCCACTAGCTGTATTTGTCATATAGCATTTAATACATACATCACGATAGGTAGCAATGTATCGCTCTGGAGCTTGCAGGACTGAACCCAGGATCAGCTGTCATTATTGAGGGGTACAGCACTGCCTCAGGGGCCTGTGGACCCACAAAACCCCAGTGGCCAGAAGCACTCAGTTGACAAGGTCAGTGAGGGAAATCACTAACAAAACCTTGAAAAACAAATAAACAAAATCCCAACCTAGCCTGAAGACTGGGTAGTTGTGTCACCTTCCCTGATTAACCCCTAACCAGACAAGACTTCTAGTAGCTAACAGTTGAAAAAATAATTGTAGAGTATTAAAATGAATTTTAAAACTTCCAGCCAGCAGATACATCTACACCAAAGTGGGTGGCAAGTGGCTGGTGAAGTCAGAAGACAGGCACTGAAAATAAAGATGATTTTAAAGGCCATTTTCAGCAAGTTCTCTGGCTAGACTCTGTGTGTTTCCATTTGTAGTAACAAAAATTATGATTGATATTTTGGGATTTTTCTGTTTAAAAGACTTACTCCACTCACATGGTCAATCCTGGTTTAAATATTGCTTCCGTACACATACAGTATGTTAAGCTTTACAATTAAAGACAAAATAACAACAGAGGCTAAGGTTTTACATTTAAAGTAGCATTCTCAGTCGCGCTTTTTAAAACCTTGTCTACGTTTAAAGGACAAAGGAAGTGTGACAGGAACAACATGCGTAATTTAAAGTGAAAGGTTTTCAAAACCCTCCTTTGGCAAGCCAGCACTCTCTCCAGAGCTCTATGCTGACCAAATCCATCGCGCCGCAATAAGGACGTGGTATGGCAGTTTTACTTGTGTACAAATCTACAATTTCTGGAAAAGAACTCAAGAAAAAGCCCATCACCACTGAGCAAGTCAATTCATATTAAGATGCATACACTGCCTGATGCAAGGCAGAAGCAACAACAAAATCGATACGAGCACAATCTGAGGCAAGTTCCCCAGCATCAGTCAAGCTCACTCAAAACTCACCATTACACGCAGCGTCTGTCCTGCTTTGCATTCCCCACTGCTTTGATATCCAGTCTCTGTACGTGGCCACTTCTTGCGTTACTCTAATTATTCTACCTAATATACTGCAAACCAGGAAAAGACCAAAACCGTCACCACCATTAATTTTTAGACACGCCAAAATAGAAGCAATTAATGTCTGAGATTTAGACTCTTAACATTTACCTTTCTGTTTCGTTGTTAGGATAATATTTAGCTATTGGGGAAACTGCATGGCTCAAAACAACATAGGCATAATCAAAAGCCTGTTTCACTTGCATGGCACCATAGGAACTCCTCCCAACATCATTACCTATAAATAAGAATATAATTTAATAAATAAATAGGATTGAAACCATGGTTATCTCCTTTCAGACAGGAGACAGTAGTATTTTTTTTTAAATTGCCCCTAACTCCCAACTCACTGCAGTCACCTCTTGCAGAACAGGATTAGTGAAGCATAAATATTTGAAAGAACTTAAAAGACCTATAGATATTTACATGCACAGAAGTCCAAAATGGCAATTCTCTGGGTAAAAGTGCAACGCATGAAATAAAAAACAATAGAGCCCTGTACTGCACATATTGCACATATACCAGTACTGCCTGCATGCCGTACTTCCAGATCAGAAATGTGTTAACTCTTTGCTATGACCAGCACTTGGCTCATCATTTCAGAAGCCATCCATTCAAGTCAGCAATCACCCTTGATGTAAAGGTAACAGTACAGAACGAAACCACGTATTTATGTATTAAGCATTCCCCTAACTTCTTTACATAGTCAATACGTTAAATCTCGGTTTCTAAGGATACCTGGCTGTAATGGATCTTCAATGTACAGCATTGATGGTCTGTAGCCATCCAGCATGCTTTTTTGCACTTCGTCCTTGGCAACATAAGAGCCACCATCCTTTATTCGGATTCCAGTCTTCAGGTAATTGAAGTGACGTCCATATAATTCAAAAAACTCTATTAAAAGAACACCATAGTTGGCATTGGGCATACAGGCATCTTCCCTGGGATGCAGCTATTAAGAAGAGAGAAAAAAAAATCATTTTCTTAAGACCTCAAGTTTCAAGTCCCTTTAAATGCCTTTTCTTTTGCACAGAAAGCATGTCTAAATACCATAATAGACAATAACAAAACAGAACATACAAAGCAAACATGTCTCTGTAGAGTACTCCTCGATAAAGCTGGTTTTTATCTTTAAAACAAGACACTATCAAAACTTTTCTAAACTAATCACCTCTGAAAAATAAGGCTGGCAAGCATTAATATTTTGGTGTTTGAACTTTCAGTTAACTAAGTGAACTTCCAGCACTAATGCCAGGGTTCTTGTAAAAAAGCAAAGATATTTGCCCTTCACAAACCTGGGTCTGCAATACAAAACCTGTCTCTTAATGCACGCAGCTATACAAATGATCCCCCCTGCTGTTAAGTATGCAGCCCCAGAGATTATGAAAAGAAAACCAGTTCGTAATTGCAAAAGATACAAAACTTGATTTCTTATTTTGCAGAAGCAAATAGAAAAGCTATTAGTCAATATAAGAAAAAACTGGAGTTAGGAGAGATTTTGGTTTCTTGCAAAACAATACACCTGTCGCCTTCATTTCTTTTGTGCTTGGCAGGCAACTGCAATAGCACTCAGCAAACACCAAGCTCCAGCTCAAGGCTCAGGTTTAAAAGTAACTATGATCTGGAAAAGTACAGACACACACCGAGCTCCACAATAACATCTAGTACAAGGAAAATAACAAGGCTGATAGAGTCAGAACTTGGCTGCTTCGTATTTCTACAATATTTCTCTCCTCTAAGCACAACAGTACAGATTTAGGTCATGTATTTTGTTGTCTCAGATTTAGGAGAAAGCTGTAAAACACATTTATCCGATACCAGCTTAAAAACCTAGACAAGCAAAATTCTGTTGCATTCACTGAAGCTCATGCACAGGGTGCATGACCTGGAAAACAAGTGTTGTAAGGGACAGCTGTATCTAACACTAACCTTTGTCGCTTGTTCCAAATAAGTTACACAATACTCAAGTTATTTTGCCATGACTGACACACGTGCCTGGTACTGACACACCAGTGGATGTTCCCAACATCTCTAATACCAAAAGTAGCAGTATGGAAGAAAGAACAGGAGACGGGTGGGATGGGTCTATTTTCCAAGGAAAAGGGGGTGCAAAACCAGAAACAGGATAGCTTAAATGACTAAATTTAAGGATTTACTAAATTCCTTCTTAAAGTAACATCCTTTTGCACCAATGGCATCAATAAATTTAATTAAGCTTACCTGAAGGAAACTGACAGCCATTAAAAAAAGACTATAAGAACCGATTCCACCTGTAAATACTTCATTAAGGTCCCTCTGCAACAGGAACTGTTTCAATACTAAAACTAGATACGGTAATACAGGATATTTCTGAAAGAGAAAGGCAAAGGTATCAGGATACTGTGATGCGTATCTACAATTGCTGCTAAGAACGCATATTGAAGCGATCTGTTTTAGCAAGTTTCAAAGCTAATTCCAACTTCTTATTTTTAGTAATGGGGAGAAGCCAAGTGCTCTGCCTGTGATCAAGACAGTTATTTTACCTCTTCAACTCCGGCAGCAGATATTAACAGTAGAGAAGAGTTATTAACTCATAAAAATCAGAATTATTTTGTTTGAATATATGAATACACTTGCTTTTCTCAAACAAGTGAAAAGGACAGCAAAGGAAGAACTATGGAGACATCCATGTCTGTAACAAAACCTTCCTGCTACAACTGAGCTGAGATCCCAAAGTGGACTGAGACTTCTGTCCTGCAAATACTTCAGATGCCCAGAATTTATAACATTTCTTCAAAATTACTGCACCCAGGTAACATTTTCCAAGGACCTAAATACTTACTTTTGGGTAATGGGTCCTTCAACAGGTTTGTCTGCACGGATTCCCTTAAGGTGTGTATGTGCTGCATGTGTGGAGAACACAGACCTTTCGGACAGCAGTGGAGGCTGGGGCTATGCCTGCACTCTGTACACTCCCTCGTTGGGGATGGGGCATGAGCGGCTCAGTGATCACACTCCTTTTGTCAACACAGAGCTAAGAAGTTCCTTAGTGTCAAGGGAGGAGATGCAGATCACGGCTTCTGTGATTGCAAAAGATCACTTGGAAAGGAGAATTTCTCCAAGAGCTTCTCTGCGTGAGTCTTACAGTGAGTATCAGGAGACCTATTAAGCTGAAGACCTCAAGATCACCTTTTTGAACTATGAGGAACTTACAGTCACAAGCTGAAGTGTGGAGTATCAGTACACACCAAAATTCAAAGACAGGATTTTTCTCAGGAAACTGCAAACCCTTAATTAAGGCCTCAGCTGCCTCAGACTTCCTCAATAAACTGGATGAGGAGAAACAGGTATTTCCAAGGGTAATACTGAACACAGCACCTCACTTAGGTATTTAAAGTTACATAGGACAAAATAAGACTCAGGAGAATGCCCTGCCAGTGCTTTTTAGAGAGCCTCCAGAACACCACTGAAGTCACTTGGCAAGTACGCACCAAGTTTTCTCCAAGCGAAGCAACCAACCCTCCATGGCAGCGCAGCCGCTACCTGCTGTGTGTGAGGCAGAGTGCCACCTCTTCCCTGCCACACCAGGCTCAGCCGCCCGTACTCACCAGCTCTGGTGCAGCACAGCGGCACGGCCTTGGCACAGGCTGCTGGGAACACAGCTGTGTAGGAAAGCGCCATGCGGGAAGCCTTGCTGGGAGTCCTCCCCTGCTTTGCTCCACAGCTGCTTTTCATCTCAGCTGTTCCCCTCAGTGCCTGCCCAAGCCACGCTGACGTGTGCTGGTGCTGAGCCTGACCCCACTCCTGACCTTCACCACCAACTTGGCATCCTCAGCCTTGGCCCCCTCAGTGGGAGCTTGTCTGGAGCTGCTGGCTGGACTGAGAGCTGATCCCCACTGCTGTCACCAGACCAGCTCTGCTCTGTCGGCTGGGGTACCATGGGGCTGCACCCCTGTGGGCAAAGCCCCTGCCCAGCTGCCACACAGCTTCTGCTCTCCTCAGGAACACGGCCTGCTCTTGCTATGCTCTGACTCAAGGCCAAAGTAGCCTCTCCAAAGGGCTACAAATAACCTGGCGACATGAACACACTAACACTTTTTTCTTGTTTTAAGCACACAAAAATGCCTCCAGGCTCTCAAGAGAAGACTACCACCTATCTTGAAATTAAGAAGTACATAGACAATTTTGGGCAAGCATGCAGGGCTTTATAGACTTACCTAAAAGTAAATTTCTATGTGGAGTATAACAGAAATACAGCCCCCAACTTGTGGCAGAAAACCAAGGACAGACTGCCTGTCCACCATCAGGCAATGTGACAACGCACAGGACATAAGAACAGAAGTGTTACCAAATGCCAGGTAGGTGCCTCACCACAGAGAATCTCGGCATCTTCTTTCCCCAACAAGGAGCTATATAGCACAAAATCATTGCTCCTGATCTATAGCAGCAAATGGCCGGCCAAAACAGCTGAGTGCTGTTCATCAGATACAGGCTGAGAGAAGAAAGGTCACTGGACTCATCCCACCCTCTTACTCTGAACAAAGGTACAAGAGGCCTCACCAGCACAAGGTTTAAGCAGAAGGTTTGTATAACCACACAGGTGGGACTATGCAGACAAGTACCCACACTATCCTACTGGAACTGAACCAAGCACAGAGATCCTTCTCCTATGCCCTTCTACAGGTTAGGGAAATAAAACACTGTAGAGGCAAACTGAGCTACGTTCATACTGGCTACTGAACATACATAAATTGAACTCATCAGCAATTCAAAATCCCCCCAAATTTAGAAGACTTTTTGCAACTCAGTGACATTATTAAAGCAGACGTACATGAGTTCTAACCCTTATGACTGAAAGTAAAGTGCTTGCTTTATTTGGATTTACAGAACTTTCTGAAGAAGTTTTACTTGTCCAGCTACTGAAATACTTCGATTCTCCTGTCATCCATTAGCTTGGTTAAAAAACAAAGCAGTTAGTGGTAGAACAGTAATACCTAACCACTTAAGTGAGACTGAACTGCACTTCATTCTCTCCACACAGAACATGAAAGTCCAAGAAAAATTTTCTACTTCTTTTATGAGACATTTACGACGAGTGTCCAATGGACTGAACGGGGAAAGGGAAGGAAAAGAATGTAATGACACTTCAAAACTTTACACACACAAGCTCATTAATCCTAACAAAATGATCCTATCTATTAAACAAAAATAACTGTAATGTATCTATGATACAGATATTAGTGAACCCCTGAACAACAACAACTTACTAAATTTAACTTCTGCTACTCCACTAGCATTTGTATGCTGAAATGATATTCAATCTAGAATAACATTATTCCTACTTTCTGCAGAAATGTGTGGTTATTACTTATTTTAAGTTCAAGGAACCAGAGTTAGAAGAACAGAACGTTTAAGATAGGTATTAGTGCATTTTCCTCAGTCATCGTATCATTGCAACTTCTCCATAGTCTTTGTACATTTTCCTATCTTCATGCCTTTTAGGGCAATGTATCCAAAACCTAAGAACATCACACAATAGTACCAGACAGCAAAAATAATAGAGTGAAAGCGTATCCCTAGTACGGATGCAGTGAAAGTAAAAGAGAAAATCAAGTCATCAAATATTCAGCTCTGTAGTTCTATCACACCATTGCCTGACCTTGATAAAATCTTTGATGAGCTGGGCTGCTTTAACCCCGTTCTGTACATTAAAGCTTATATCAACTTTCACTTCAGTGAAGGAATCTGTCAGTTTAATGATAGGTACCTGCAAAAGAAAGACACAATAAATCAGCACAGATATCCAAGACACACTGGGTTTCCTTCATACTTATATATACCAGTAAAGCTGACATTTTATGAATTTGGAGAGAGGAGGCAGACAAACAGAACCCCTGTCTATTTATGAACTCACACTCTTTGCCAATCCGTTTACATAAACTTTGCTTTTCAAACTCATAAATGCTATTTTCAATTTAATATCCTATCCTATACACTATATTTCTAATGAGAAAAACAAACACCAGAGGGAGACAAATGCTTAAGAACTAAAGATAAACGGTAACATACTCTTAAGAAAAGACACACGCGTGTCCTTGGGCGTCACTGATTCCTCATCAAAATTATCTTCAAACAAGAAGCACAAGATCCTGAGAGCACTCTGACATATCTCCACCGGAGGAGTTTCCAAATTCTCTCTCTCTACTAGTAACAGCTATCAATCAGACATCTTTTTAAATCCCACTCTTACATACTCTCACAATCAGAAAAAGCTAGAAAGTCGTAATGGAATTAATTCCATCCTACACCAGACATACCATTACGGATTTATACAAGGCTCTTCTTATTACTTCTATGTGAAAATGTATTGCGTCTGCTTACTTGGAATAAGAAAAGAGAAATTATTTATTTATGGACCAACTCAGTCCAGAAATTCACAAGTCTAGTCACATTAATTCACAACAATGACTAGTATAATCACACTTAAAAGCAAGTTTATCTTGTGGAGTGTGGAAAATCAGATTATTTTCCCCAACAGAAGAAATGTTTCTGTTGGAGCACCATCACTTATTTTGTCAGTCATAAAAACTCTACTAACTAAAATAGGTTCTATTCGTTCTACTTCAAAATTGTATTTAAAAGTTTCTGCTTACGAAAATTCATCCTTTTGACCAAGATTTTTCATTGATTAAAAATTTAGCTTAGAACAAGGAAATACCCCCTTTCCCCCAAACTTACAGTTGCTTTATCTAAAACTTTTACTGAGTTTTCATCTGCTACATTGTGCTTTCTAAGAGCTTCTTCCAAGGTCCAAAGAGGTAACGTCTCCCATTTTCCAAAAACAACTAAATCAATATCACTGAAATGGAAAGGAAATATATAGTCAAATTAAAAGACCAAAACACTTAAAAGATAAACAACTGACATCCACGCATAACTAGAATAAAGTTGACAGAATGTAGCTCAACCAAATAATGTAGTCTTCATTTCCTCAGGAAAGGAGTGAGGATGAACTCTTATACTTGGGGAAATATGGAACATTTCAGGTTACCAAGGGGAGGGGACAGATACGCAAATCAATGGGGCTGCAAAGCCCAAGATTTGCCTCCTCAGGCCACCCTGTCAGCAGAGAGGGATCGGCTTCTCTAGAGCGACTCAGAGCAAGAAATCAACTTGTGAATCACCACTGCTGGGCTGCAGCGATCAGCAGCGCTGGCTACTGGGAAAAGGGAAAGCCCTGCTCCCCATCCTCTACTCCCCAATGCATGGCTCTGTCTCCTTTGCTTGAGGCATGGTGTTCATCTAATCCACAGGAAATCAATTCAACATATTAATGAGTCTGGCAGAAATCAACTCCCTCCCCCCCACTGCCCACCAAAACCTTCTGGGGTAATTTCCTGCTTCTTTGCAACTCTAGTTGGTTTTCTGGGTGATGAGAGCACCAGCGGGCACCTCGGAAGCAGCTGCTCAGCAGTGCCGAGAGCAGAGAGCAGTGAACGAGAGCACAGTGTGGTAACTTGGACTTCAGGAAGCAACAAGCTGTTAAATAAGATCAAACTCTCTGATTAACTTTGCTCATCAACTCAGCTCCTTGAAGAGGTATCTCCACCTTGCTACACTTCCCCGCTATGTATACATTTGTTTGACTATACAGGGAGCTGACACCCTAAGTCAGTGCCTAATCTCAAATGCGAAAGGTGACTGGTGTCCAAACTGAAGCCAGTGAAGGCTACTGTGAGATCCGAGCTTTCTCCTCTTTGCTCCCCAGCTTCTTTGATCTCCCCTGCGTGCTGGGAACACAGTGGAGACGAGTGTATAACCCTATAGCTGTAATAGCAGCCACTTCAGTTATGGAAAACCGCATCACAGAAAACATGAAAAAAATTTATTTTAACACTAAAAATACTTCCTCTCACATCTAGATTTTACAGGTCTGCTGATACACAAACACCACCATCCTTTAATGGCTTTAACCACCTCAAAGAAACCACATCTGCGTTAGATGAAATATCTCCTGCCGCCAAGCAGCCTCGGCAGCAGGGAAGTTCAGCAGCAGTTCAGCTGCATACCATTCAGCTGACAAGGAGAGGCAGCACTCGGCCAGTCGCAGAAAACCGTGTTCAAAACCTGCCTGGAGAGCAGGAAATGCTGCTGGACACTTTTCTTCTAAACTAACTTACTGTTAAACCCACTACTGAGGCTGACAGTTAAGAACAGGAGACATTTTTCTGATGCACGAGCAGAAGCAGCTCTGTTGTCACCTTGAGGGGAGGTATCGCCTGTGAAATAACACAGAGATCCAGCAGCCGAACAACCATGTGCCCAAACCTGCACTCTCAGTTTAAGTAAAAGGATATTAGGCAAATTCTAACACAGAGTAACAGAACTAAAATCACACTGTAGATCTTTCTGAACCCCAGAACCTGAAATCTAAATTAAATATACAGTTACTAACAGCTGGGGAAAATCTAGGGCAAAGGGAAGCTTTGACAGAAGGCAGCAGCGAATTAATTACCAACACACAAATGCTGATTATTTTCAAAGTTTAGCCAAAGAACAAGGCCAAAAGCGAAAACAAAGTGTATTTGTACACCTTGCTTCTGACCTTCCACAGAAACTGAGCAATGCAGCTTTCCTGCAACTCCTCAGACCAAGGCAGATGCTCACGTATCTGGCAGATATTTTCTTTTTCAAAAGGAGATGAAAAGACAAGTCGGGTATCCATCACTTGCAGTCAGAACTAGATACTAATTCCTCATGCTCCCAAAGTACGGACTCAGTTCAAGTGTTAACTTCAGACTTAAGCTATTTAAATGTGTTTATCCCCTGCAGCTATTTAAGCCTTTCATTCTATTTCTGTTTAACTGTCAAAAACACAATTTCTACACCCAAGATACCAGTGTCACTGAGTAATGACTTCTCTTTACGAAAACTAGTCTTAAATTTGGAAAAGACAGAGGTTGACCATTGCACAGATTTCACAAAAGAAGATCGAAAGTAAAACACAGCTCCATGTGTATTCTTTTCTCTTCAGCGCATTAATTAGCATTAACAAGATAATGTTAAATGTTTCCGTTTAATCATCTGTGAAGATAAAATTTAGCTTTTCTTTTAAAGCCAGCCTCTTATTTTGGTTCAGTCATTTAATGATGCCAGATCACAAAATAAGCCTTTTTTGACAACACGGCGATTCAGCTCTTTCACTAATGCAGGCAAAAGCTATATAGACATATGTACTACAGTTAACTGTCTTAATTACTATATTTCTGTACACTTTGCGGAGTACTAAGAGCTTAACACGTTCTTAACATCCCAAGTATACACACAGGTAACACAGGTACTGGGAGATCAGGTAAATCACTTCTGGAGCGCAGGTTCCACAAAGCTATCTCTTCTCTCATACAGAATTTACACTGAAAAATTACTAACCTTGTAGGTAAATATAAACCAGTTTTAAAGCTTCCAAATATCTGCACCTGAAACACAAGAAGAGGACAGATGAAAACAAATTTCCAGGCTTCAAGGGACAAGCAAGCTCTGTGAAGTTGCTCGGAAAGGCTGGTTCCTGCTACCCTCCATTGGTCGATCGTGGTACTGCCAGCAGGCACACTGAACACCAGGTACTCTGCTCTGTTAGAGCATTTACAGCTGCCATGTAGAACAAATGGCTCATCTTCATTGTTACTAACCATAAAATTTTACTAACTTTAATTTTTCTATTACAAAACCTTCTTTGTAATGTAAAAGTTTTACCATGACTACATTTGGCAACATACATAAACTGAAAGATTTTGAAACACTTAAAAAGAGAACATAAAATTTCATTCATCGGTTCAATTTGTTTTGGTTTTGTACCTCAAAGTATACTCTTCAGTTTTTAAACACATTTTCTAAGTTTGAGTTTAATATACTTCTGTTGCTTTGCCCACCTTAAAAAAAAAAACCAACGAAACAACAACCAAATCACAATCCATGTGTTTTTTTGGAGTGACAGAACGAGTAGCACAACTGTTTATTTCTGCTTAAACAACAACCAAAAAAAGTTTCAGAAAGTTCCCCATCCCCCAGATTTAGTTTACTGTGCTGGATTTTCACTAGCACCAGAGGTTTCAATGACCAGGTTTCCCTTATAAGCCATTCAAAACCATGTTCTCGTTAAATTTGTCAAGCCTCGCAGGGGTCTCATGCGAAGTCTCAAAAAGGGACTGGTGAAACTTCAAAGTAAAAATATCTTCACATTTGGACTAATTTTCAACCAGACAGTCTTCTGATGTGTTTCTCGGAGCCACCTTACAGACTCAAGTATTCTGCTTTAATCAGTCTCATACTCTAGCCTGATTGCTACATATTTGTATGTTGAGTGACCCACTTTTTATGGTTTTCTCCTTCAGGATAAGAAAAAATGGGGAGATGGGAAAATAAGATGGTTTTGGCAAGAAGTGTCTTGATACTAAAGTAGACTAAGAAGTAGTATGAGGGCTTCCTCCTGACTTTTTTATATCACTTCACTCTTGTTACCGCCTCACCCCAGACCCAAGAAAAAGCAAACACGGGCAGTAAATGTAATGTTTAAAGTTCACACCTTCTCAAAGTAAAGAAGAGTGCAAGAGAGGCCGGAGAACTAGCATAAATATTGTACTAGATCTTGACAAAAGCATAAAGGCATCACAAAGCTAAGAACAGCAATTATTATGACTATTTTTAATCCAGGATAGTAATAAAAGCATCCTCTGTGAAACTGTTTGTGTTCAGTCAAACCAGGATTTATTTGGCCACCAAAAAGGTCTGAAAAGTGCTTTTGCACAATGAAGCATGGGTTTGGAAAAAAACTAAATGTGCTTTCATATTATCAAACAAAATAGTGTGTTCAGTTGCACAGCAAAGAGAGCCTTTATTGAATAAACAACCCTGAACCCATAAACTTACTGATAGAACATATATGACCTTTACCGAAAGGAATGAGACAACATCTGCTGTTGTACAACAATTTGGAGTATGAGAAACACTGGATTATTATAAAAGAAACCCACACCCACACTTCAATTCCTCTCTCATCAAATCTGGAAAGATGGAAGAGTGGGGAAAACAGAACAGAAATGTTAAAGGATTTTGATTTATTACTGAATCAGAATTTAAACTGTCGAAGCTCTGTAGCCATTTAAAGCATCCCAAATACAGGACACTATCATGACTTGAGAGATGTGCACACGAGTTTCTGTAGTGTGTCAACACTGCCAATTGTATTTTCATTCTGTGTGGACAGAGATATGTATTTGCTTTCACAAGATAACTTAAGACCTCACAGAACTGTAACGGGCTCCTCCTACTCCTATACGTTATTGTGACTATTTATCCTGCATTACTGCAAACTTGTTTGTATTAAATTCCAAAGTTCCTGAAGAAGCTTTAATTACGGTATGTGTCCAAATATGTCCTCACTATGCACAACAGAACTTGGCAACACACAAAAGCTTGAGATGTCCTGGCTACCAAAATCCATCCATCAAAACAACAACAACAAAATCTATCCATAGCCAATTTAAATTTCCCTTTCTCTTCCATCATTAAGTAGAATTTGCTGAAGTTTGTCAAAATAAACAGAGTTCATCTTTCCATATCCTTTCCTAATCACAGTATTTTCATAACTGAAGTGTGTGAAGTATGCAGCATTTCCTCTGCAGATCTACACGGCCACACAATACTCAGACACGAAGCTGAGGATGTCATGACAAATGTATCCTAAATTCCACTGTATAAGTCCTTATTTGTTCAGTAGTCAAATATTCATATTCAACTGGTCAGAAACCTTTGTCTTAAAATGTCTTAGTTTATTTAATGTTTTGGGTTGTTCGGTTTCAGTGTAATTAAAGCCTTTCTTAGGGTCAGAGCCTTGCTGATGCCAAGAACAGTTCTCACTTACTAGGAATGTTTCCTTCTAAGCACATTCCCTTGAGTAAGAGAGCAAATGACACAATTGCTAACTTCTATAAATAAAGTAACAGTTTAGGATACCTTGTTTTACCCCCTCCATCTGCTTTTTCAGCCTTTTCCTAAGTGGAACAGGAAAAAAAAAAAAATGTACGGCGCACAGACCCATTCCACACGTGCTCCACGCATTTAGATTCATGAAGCCCGATTTTCCTTTTCTCGGCACCTGATTTTTATAAGGTACACCTTACCTATGTGTTTAGTGAGAAACTACAAACTAAATGCGTATGTTTAACTTACGAGTTTATTTTAGCTGGATTCACTACATCTGTGACTCAAAATGAACAGCTTAAACATTAACTTACTGCTTTACACTACAGCTAAACCTGAGGACATTGGACCAGATAACACTCCACCTTCTCAGCACCTGTACTCTTAACTTAAATCTTACAAGTAGCTAAACCAACACAGATTCCAAAAGGTTAGTGATTAACTCCAGTGACTGAAAGACTACTGAAAGACTGTCAAAGTTGAACACAGCTGAGTTCAGTTCAGTTCCCAAGCAGATCTGTACAGTACTAGAAAAATAACATTACAGTAATTTCCAGGTTGTAAGCCAGTGTTCCCTTCTAGCCTCCAGCACACGGAAGAACATACAAGAGGAGAACTCTTCCTCGATGTAACACCAGCAGACAAATGCAGAGGTAGGATCTGAAGAGCCGTTACTGATTTAACAAGAAGGAACTAGCACGCTCTTGCTCCCTATCTTTTTCAAGAATGTGAAAAAGTGAAGAAAGACTGTGGTAGCAGTTTTAACTGGCACGAATTGAGAAATGAACTTCAGTTTTCACAGTGTGTGCTGTTTCTCAGTCCCACTAAAGCTAAGCCCAGTGGTCAGCTGTCACTGCGTGGTAGTGCTTGTAATTCGCTTCCCCTTCTTTAAAAGATTATGGCTACAAAAAACCAGTTTCAGTAGCCTCAAGAAAGACTGTTTTCTCAAGGCCCCAAAGTCACACATATTTATATATATACATAAACTATTTTTAATATAAGAGACCAAGCTTTTACAGATAAGTCTGTCCTACAGACAGTATCTCTGGAAGCACTGAGTACTTGTGCCTCATTCAAAGTGTTGGCGGTCACAAAGATAGACCCCCTGCGACTAAACCCGTTCACCCCACCACACTGGTTAAGTCAGCAGCACATAAACTTGTCTAGGAAACAGCAGCATCTTCTCTAGGCTGAAGGAATCAGTTATTTTGGTGAAATCCCCTACTACAAGACTTCAGCAGGGTGTACCGTAGTAGGAGCTGTTCAATACCCGTACTGTTTCTATACTATTGCCTGTCAGACTGGCAGCCCACTACTCCTGCTCTTGATTAGCGTCTACAACACCATGTCACTGGGTTAGAGGAGAGCTGTACCACACCTGTGACATACGCTAAAGTCTCATACACAGCTCCCTGGGAAAGGTGATCGGTTTTGCTCAAAGAGAAAATTAGCAGCCACGTGTAAGAGTGACTCTGCCAACTCCCTGTAGCTGTCCAAAGGCAGCTGTCACAGCACACAGCATGCTTCCATATCATATGTCACTACTACGTTGTCCATAACTGCACGTGAACCACCTTGAAAATGTGTACACACAAAACTACACACCACGCACACAGAGCTTATACAGAACTCATATTCTCTCATGTTCTGCCAGTTCCTAAAAAACACATTCCAAAAAACAGGTTAAGAAGATCTGAAATGAACAGTGGGTTTAAGTCACTCGTGTCAAAACACTACATTTTACTGTGGCAGGATCAAAGAGCATTCCGTATACTAAAGATTCTGCTATCTGAATTTGGTTTGATACTCCAGCTAACAAGTCCTTATTTTCAGCTACTGTTATCTGCAGATAGCTGACTACAGCTACCAATCTGCACTCTGGAAATGAACACCATGCTAGTACAAGGATACAACTAAAATAGATTCAATTATGCTAAAAATCCAGCTGTGTCCCCATAAAACCATCTTGAGTTGTAAAAGCAACTTCCCTAACTTCTCTTTAATTCAACCTTTATTTAAAAAAGCATAGTTCTGCACAGGAGAAACTCTTTGTTTCAACCGAATAAAGTACTTGTTTCTTCCTGTGCAAAGACGTGGTTCCTTTACCTTTTTAAGACACTTCAATTCAGTTTACCTGCCCATTAAAAACAGCATGGTCTATACAACACGGCATTGCTGGCTTTCCACCCTAACAGACTTATTCGAGACCACAGGTCTTTGGACTCAACGCCCTGCTACAGACTTTTTCAGCCAAGACATGAGTTTCAGAAAAGTTTGTTTAACATATTATTTTCAAGCGCGCATGCATGCCTGATATGTTCCCATTAATCTTAGTAAATAAATATTTATGAGACTAAATGCTGCCCCTCCTCATGCCCTTGCTTTGACGACAGTAGGTCTAGCTTGTCTTTGTTCCTATGTGTGCCAGAAAATAATGATCACTTCTCTCATTTCACCAGAAATCATTTTGGTTTGTTTTGGTTCTTTTAATATGGAAAAATCAACAGTATCTACACTATTTAATACTTCACGAAGTAAACATGCAAAAACCATTGCTTTTGTATATTAACAAACAGAAGAGTGTCCTACTCACATCTGCATTAGGCCACAGCTCTTTTATAACGTTTTCTATCCTGTTCACCACTTCCATCCGCATTCTCTCTTCTTCAGGTCTGGGAGACATGTACTTATAAAAGTCAATTATTTCTTCATGAAGTCTGAGAAAGAAAGAAAGAAAGAAAAAATTAAAAAAAAAAAAAGAACAGCAAGTCAGGAAAAAGCCACAGCAAAATGAAATACCAACTACTCCAACCAAACATGCTCTTTTGAGCTCCTAGTTATCTATTAAGTTAAAGGGCCGGTTTAAGAGTAGCATGCAATTTAATAAAACAAAACCCAGATTGACACCACTGAGTAACGCACCATTTCATGTTGGTTTCTTATGCCATAGGTCAACGCTGCACTGCATTTGCTGAAAGCGTGGAAGCAAATCTAAACCCAAGCATCTCCAATTCACATCTAAAGTCAGGGTCTGTATTTTAATGCCAGTGCTACACAGAAATGGTTCGGCCTTCAACTCCAAACACAGCTGTACGCTCTGAGTACACACTTGGCAAAAATTTGGTTTTTGGCCAATGCTTCCTAGTCAGCCCCTTGGCACCAGCTGGGAAGCTTCAGGCATTGGACTGTATTCAGTACCAAGCTTTTAAAAAGCTGATAGTAATTGTGCCAGTGCTGAAGCTAGAAAAACTGCTCCTTAAGACGCATAAACTAAATATGCACTCTCTCCCCATAACAAGAAAATAAGTAGTACACACTCAGCAGTGGTGGCTCAGAAGAAGAAGTGACTGACAGCTAACCCATATATTTGACAGTTCACCGTGTTACATGTGCTTCTCACAGTCATTAAGGTACGTTTAGATTGCTTATGATTAGAGCTGAAATAAAAATGTCTTCACACAGCGCCACAAATTTCTATGCTGCTGGAAAACCATAAACACATCATCATCTTGACTAACAACGTATTTAAAAAAAAACAGACGCAGCCCTTTAATTTCAGCAAAATTCAGGGCAACTCTGGCACAGAGTACCTAAATTAATTTCATTTGTTTCCTGCAATGACCATTACAGTAATAGCTAGTTATTTTTCAAAAATGTATTTTTTCTAGTTACCAAGTACAACTGCATCTCTGCTTAAAGCTCTGAGGGACCATCAGAAGAGAGCAATTTATTAAGAACAAGCCCTTAGATGAGATGTGGAATCTAATAATTCCCTGCTGCACACACACATTTAAATAAATCAAATGTTAATAACTCGAAGTTGTACACAGGTGTCAAAAAAACAGATTAAAATATTTGAAAGTTGTACTTAACAGAGCCAGGGTAGGGACAGAACTCAAACCATCTGCATTATGTTCTTCAATACTGCAGCACTATGAACAACACAAACTTCTTTCTCAGAGACAGAGGAATAAAATATTTACATTCCTTTCTACCGAGCGTTTATTGGAATTATCCCCACGCACAGTTAGGGGAATAGTCATAAAAGCCTAGCAACTTGAGGTGGCCATCACCACAGGCTCTCTGTAGCTAACACAAAGAGGAAAACTCCTCTGAGGAGTTCCTCCGAAGGGAGATCCAGACAGATACCCGATTTAGCTGTTCTGTATCAACCTTTGGAGAAGCTTCTCCTCCTCTGACACCTACAGAAGGAGCTTACAAACGCTTAAACCAAAAACTAAGATAAAACAAACTCCCACAAAAGATCTGCAAAAATACAAGGCGCCATCTCCCTCCTCTCCCACCGCTACTGCCACACTGGCAGCAAGCCCTGTTCACACACAGCATCTCAGGTACCACAAGGATGTTCTGAACAATGTAGCTGCAACATCCATACCAGTAAATGCTGTTTGCAGCATTTATTTTGACACTGCTATGAATTTTCTTACCTCCTCCTATGGCTGGTTTCTTGCTTTTCCTTAGAAGCTCACAACCTGAGGTTAACATGCACGTGCCAAACGTGCCCCATGGCCATCCCTTACCCTGGCACTGATGTCTCCACCTTTGGCTTTTCGGCCATCTGCTGTTCTTCTCTCCCCCACTACTATTCAACGTGTTGCCATTTAAACCTTCCTACAGCTATCCTCCCCTTGCAGAAACTGAACTGAGATGACAAGTACGCAATAATGGACAAGTTGAGCACTCCAACAACCATGTTCACTCTCCATCCCCACTGCCAGTCACACACACTGAACTGCTGATTTAGTCTCCATATGCTTGACCATTAAGGTATCGTTCAAAAACAGGAGCACCAAGGAGAACAGGCAAAAAAAGGATAATCAAACTCTAGAAAACACCGGCTATTTTCCAACTTTAATTCTGTGAACCAGCTTACAGGACGACCCAAGAGTCAGCCCAAGGTTTCCTATCAAGTCTGGCAAACTCTGCTTTCTCTGTGTACTGTGTTGTGGGGAATTGATCAAGCACCACAGCCCCATTTCTGCCTGTGCTCCTCAGGACCAGTCGGGACAGTCTGGTCACCTCCACAAGCCAAGGCTAATACAGAGGGACTGTCCCTGGGGAGAAATTCATGGATGGCACAGCAGAAATCCATACCACCCGTCATTAGTGGACCCAGCTGCTCCTGGGCTTCCACTTTACAGGAGTTAATTGTCCCCCTGCCTCATAAGGGAACTTCGGAAGAACAAGGCTATCAGAAATGAGGTCCCCAAAGTGCACAGAGGGCCAAGCCGCACAGACACTGCAGTTTTCAGGGCACTTCTCTTCACCAACAACACTGACACTCTTAATCGAGAGAATAATATCAAATGGTGCATTCTTTAGGAGCACATAAAATAATGATGTGTTGTCAGAACCTGATGTATTCTTCTTCTAAACATAAATAATGTCTGCATCTCTTTAAATGGGATCCTTCTTGTTGTCAGGTAGTCATGTAAGGCTTTATGGGAAAACAAAAAAATAAGCAGCATGCAAACACACAGAAACTTCCATTACAAGTGCACTGAATGTTACTAAACAATGCACATGCAGGAAAAAATGGAATTTGAACTTTTTCAATGACAGAAGAAAGGCTTCAGGACTGCTAGACAAAGCCTCCACCAGCACGCCAGTTGGAAATACTGAAACACAGCCATATCTGCGCTTCATCTGCTGCAGGGCTCCACACTGGAGCCCCAGCACGCAGAGGGCAGGCAGACGCTGTGAAGGCTCAGGACTACACCTGGAACCGCATCTCCCTGCCCAGCAATGGCTGCTGCCAAGAAATAAGAGAGTGATTCATTAAAGCCAAGACAAGCAGAAGTAGGCACACACAGATTTCAGAGCTGTACAACATGACTTAGAAGCGTGACTCGTGACTCCAATTAACGGGGAGTTAACTCGAGCTGTATTGAAAATTAAAACTCAAGGTTATTCACCATCTTAATCAACAGCTATTATAGTTGCTGCTTTTCAAAACAATTTGTTTGAATTAATGGAGCCTGTTTACAAGAGTCTCTAGTGGAATTTTATATCTTTAGCTGAAATGAAGATCAAAGAGACTGAGAAGTTATTTTTGGCATTGTAACAGTATCTTTCTATTTAGTGCCACTACATTCATTAGTTATTTTAGATAAAATTCCTTAAAAGGAGACTTGATTTTAGAAGGAATTTACAGTGTAATAAACCTGATTTCACTACGGAGAGATATTTCATTTGGCTTTACAGCCATACTGAAGCATACCAACACCCAAGACTGACTTAGGATGCATGGAGAGAGCTCTCTGCAATGCGTAAGAGCATCAATTTACTGTATTTATTACAGTAAATAGCAGTAAATTAGTGGGTCTTTGTACTGTACTTCAGTGAATCTTAACACATGGGGAAAAGAAAACATAGAGTCTTACACATTCTCTGAGTATGTTTTAAAACAAAGTATTAGCTGCATCACAGCCTGTTTTCAAGCTTGGTAAGCTGATTCCACCAGAATTTCACAGACAAAACAAAATTCTAGAGAAGCCACTAAATTTAGTGTACTGTAGTGTCTGTTATGTTTACCTAACAGAGAGAGTGATGTGTCATTAAAAAATAAATTATGGCTGCAAAGTTGTAATCACAAGAAGGACTTCCCACTGTCACACCACTGAACAGCACCACGAGGAACGCAACTCTGCCAGACTCAAGCCATTCAGGCAAAAAGCTGCAGCTTTTGTGCAGATGCAAGCACTATGGAACACAGCGCATTACATTTCTGTTTCAGTTTGATCACACCTTACTTTATTCTGTAGCACAGCTTGCGGGCTCCAAATGTGCAACTCAGGATTCTCAAACTAGTTTACGTATATCCAAGATGATGTTATTCTGGAGTATGAATCTTACTGCACCTCTGGCAATCGATTAAAAACTAACTGTTATGAACAAAACATTGTTTCTGTTTTCTATGCCCCGCACACAGACACGTGCACAAGCACAACAGACCTGAGTGACTTCGGTCACCTGCCACACAGAGCAGCACAGTTTGCTATCGCTGTGCCCAGAGCCAGAACCACGAGTGGTACACATCGCCTTCTGACACCTCCCTGGAGACACTGCAGGTTTCGCCTTCCTGCACCAGATCCCGACACAGAGCGAATGACCAGCCCAGCGCGCTCCCAGATTTCGGCAGCCTGGAGGAAGCCAGCCCAGCACAACACAGCAGCACCTGCCCCGAGAGGGCCATACCCTGCACGGTCCCTGCCTGTCCTGCACAGCAGAGCACAGTCCTGCTAAGCAGAGAGCCAGACACACACAGACAGTTCTAACTGGGTTTTGTGCACCCACACACAGTATTGTACCAACCAGAGAAATAAGTTTTAATTGAAAAAAGTTTCCTGCTTTTGTCATTCTGGAATTGCGCTACACTTCCACTCTCCTCCGCTTCTTCTGCACTCTTCAATTTCACAGGAGAAATCGCGCAGGCATGCATATTCTAATTTCTCTAACCAGGGTGTTACCCATAGCTTCTGCTCTGACTGTGAAAAATGACTGGGTTAAAAATTCTGCTCATCCATCCCAGAGAGCCTCCTCTGCCTTGGGCATATATACTCCTTTGCACAGGAAACGCTATTTGCAACTTCACTGAAGATAACGTAAAACAATGGATATCAACCATATGGAAAAAACCCCTGTACAGTACTTGTGCACTACAATTTATTCTTTGGCAGGATTTTCTGA